AAGGTGCCGCGATTCGCTGTGCAGAGTTGTGTCCCTTGGGCACGCCTGAAACCTTTGATCGTGGGTTCGAATCCCGGTTCGCCCTACTTGTCAAGACTGAGTTCAAAAATTGGTCCTGTAATGCATAGGATGTGACTGAAACACATTCTACTGAGATCATGTTAATATATAATAAGGTATTGGGTCAACTACCTCCTGGAAAATCAGCCCTAGGGGCCATTGCTGTAGAGTTTTATGTGTATCATGTACATGGCCCAATGATGCTATTAGTGATCACATATTCATGCTTCCACAATTAGGTCAGTGTGTTCAGTACATCAAATAGGCCCGCTGGCCACTGACATCAAATAATACCATTACCAGGCCCGCTACAATTCTGTTGGCCAAAGGACCAGCAGCTTATTCAGCAGGAAATTGGTTGACATGCCAGGGCTAATCCTTTTTTTCATGTACGTTGATGAAACATGGATATGTGAAAGTATTTTTAAGAGCCCTTGACCGTCACCTAGGCCATTGCCCATAGACAGCTGTACAGTTACAGTATGTTCCAAATCTGTTTGGAGTCCACTAGCCCTAACTTGGCTTTCAGCGTCATTGTTTGTACATTTTAGTGTTGTCATATGGTCGATTAATACCTGATCAGGGTTCATTGTAGGAATTTTCTGACATGAGTCCTTTATGTGAAAATTTCAAATATTCCAGAGGTACACCCACACTTGCCCATACAGCACAATGCTAAAATGCCCCATTGTATTTGAAAATGTAGGCCTTTTTTCAAATTTAGGGGCTAAAATGCACAAGGCCCCTCCCTAGAATTATCTCTCACTGAACTCACTAGATTGAACTGAATTTTACTGGACTCTGGCTTAGGACTATTGGCTGAGGTCACGGCCTAGTAGTTAAAGTGCCCTCTCATCTCGCCACACACCCATGTTTGATGCTCAACATGGATACAGTGAAGCAGACAGAAGCTCATTCTTGCTTTCCTGGGGTTAAATTGCTGAAATATTGCAGTGTATAAACAGATCCTCGTCCTCTGCTCTCTGAAATGCGAGGTATGCTGTGTTTATTATGCAATACATGCCATGCATCCAAGCACTGATTCCTCTTTCATGGGAGTAAGGTAGATACTCCCCAAGTCGTCAGTCATGGTAACCAGATCTACTGCCTGGACCTTCAAGGAGACAAGCATTCTGAGCCTAACAAATTAGTGTCTTTCTATATCTACAGCTGAAAATGTCAACTGCCGTACCAATTTGATCAGAATTAATAATGTACAGTTATATTGAATTGTTCATCTCTTGCATTCTGGCTTCCCCAGTGGATGATGTGCGTCAGGAGATGATGGCATTGGAGAGAGTGGTGACGTGAACGCTGGCAGTCACTGTGTCACAGCATGAAGGGAAACACAGCTGTGACCTGACTTGTGTCGCTGATCCCCATGCGGTAGATTGTGCTATCAACCACCTGTATGTCCAGTCGTGAGCCCTGTCATGGTCGGATACAGCTTTTTTGAAAAGGGGGGGGGTGCACAATTAAGATCTATTTATTGTCTTTGGTGGTAATTTATACAGAAATAAAGATTTTTTTCGAAATAAAAAGGGGGGTTGCACACCCCCGCACCCCCCCTCTGTATCCGCCCATGCCTGTGCCACAAGGCAATCTTAGCACTGCGACTGTCTTAAGTCAGGGTTAAGATATGGAAGTTCTTATTGTCTTAGCTCTAAGATTGCTTTGTTTATAGGGTACAGGTCTCCTTTCCGTGCTGTTGTAATGAAGTGTTGTCCACCATGAAGCTCTGGCATTCGTTTGCAGGTCGTTACATTAATCTGAGTAAAATTGTCATGAATGTTGTTTAGTTTTGATCAGTCAATGACCTGCAACACATGATTATTTTTAAAAAATCAGTGTCTCAAGTCTGATGTTAGCTTGATGTTACGATCTTCAGCATGTTAAGACAAAACCACTGCTTGATCAAGTTGATCAAGTTGATCATTAATTAACTACTGTATGTATGATCAGTGTTTGAAATAGCTGCTGGCCCACTAGCCAAATGGCAGTGATGTTTAAATTGGGCTAGTGACATTTCCATAAAGCTGGCCCGACTGTCTAGTTGAAAATAGTAGTCAATATATATCTATTTCTAAAAATTATCAAGTCAGTTAAGGCATCATTTAATGTCAGGACCCGTGAATATTCGGGGTAGAATAGGTCTTCAGCAACCCGTGCTTGCTGTAAAAGACGACTATGCTTGTTGTAAAAGGCGACTAACGGGATCGGGTGGTCAGGCTCGCTGACTTGGTTGATGCATGTCATCGTATCCCAATTTCGTGGATCGATGCTCATGATTCTAATCACTTGATTGTCTGGTCCAGTCTCGATTATTTACAGACTGCTGTGATATAGCTGAAATATATTGCTGAGTGCGGCATTAAACAACAAACAAACAAACAAACAAAACAAAAACAACTAGAATGTTTCTTCCGACATGAAGGATTCCGTTACAAATCTCCCAGTCTGAAACTTGGCAGTGCTGACCGTTAACATAAACATGTTGATGGACTGGCCAGTGCTTTATAAACATGGGGTCAAAAAGATATTTGATGGACTTGAAGAGGTAAATCATACTGAAGGGCTGGGATTGTTTTCCTGAATATGTGAAGCCCATTTCTGGCACCCCCAGGTGATATTAGTGGAATATTGCTGATGCAGCGTAAAACAGCACTCAACAAGGACTGATGCACAGCATGGCTGCCCACAGAATATCTCCTGTGTAGAACTGTGAATATGCAGGGACTCTCGTGCAGTGAGTCTCATGCAGGAGTACAACTGTCTCTACAGGCTGCATGGTCGGATGCTCAGCAGCAGATGTTGCTTTTGCTGTAGCTGTTGATGCCACAAGTCGGGTTTACCCACCAGATCGTGTGTTGTTGTAGTGTGACTCCATCAGCCCTGAAAGCTGTTGCATGTACATCACTTATCTGTACCTCCAGTTTATTGTGGTATACAGTTTGCAGTTGAAGTACACTGATTGGCAACTCATGTTTTACAATGAAGTTATTGGATAGTAGGGGATTAAACTGGTTGGAGATTTTTAGACATGAAATGTGGTATGTTCAGTATTCTTGAAGCATGTTTCTCTTTTCATTCCTTGATTGGTCAAAGTCATTATTATTGTCATTTTTGGTGATACAGAACTAAAAGATAATTTGAAAATTCAAGTAAAAATGTGGGTTTATGTAGAAGGGAATATCCTCGTAACTCTCCATTCCTTAAAAATAATGGACCAGAGGCCCATTATTTTTAAGGAATGGAGAGTTACGAGGATATTCCCTTACTTAAAACTCATCCCTACTTTTACACTTTGACAAAATATTCTTTAGTTGAAAATATTTGAAAAATTCAAATGCTGCTTCAAGATAATGTACAGTTGACAAGCAACTCTCCATTCCTGAAAAAAAAATGGAGCGTTCAAACAATAGAATGATGTCACAGATGTGTTTTAATTTAAAAAAATTGTATTACATTTTATTAGTATTTTATAATATGAGGATTGACAGATTCTCACATATTGCAGGCAGCAGTTAGCATGGTTAGAAAGTTAGACATGATTATTCACAAAGAATGAAATAAATCCAGGAATGGAAACATGTTACGTGTGATAATAACCATGGTAACGGTTAAGCTACACAAATAAAACTTTTATAATCAGATATAAATTATTACTATAATGTTCTGTTGATATCATAATGTAAGTCACCATATTCCTTTTATTTGTGAGAATTGTTCTATTTTGGAAATGTAAGGATGGGTAGGGAGAAATAAATGCTATTGATTCAGTGATCAGGTGAGTCTAAGGAGACATGATTCCGTAGTTCAGAATTAGATGACTTGATGCATCCGTGGATCCCTATTTTTTCACTTATCGATACAATAATGATCACAGTCAAACAATCTGTAATTAATATCGATTCTTACCTTAAATGTGTTTGCTGAAGTGTTACACCAGACATTACATTAGTAAAATTTGTAGTGAAAACATACATATTTTCATCCATTGCTGAATACTTGACACTGCCAACTGTAAATCGTCAGTGTGCAAGGTATTTGGCCATCTGTCTATGAAAAAGATGGCCCATTCACCACAAATAAGAGCACCTGCAAGTACCGTGATACGTATCGGATCACTCAGTTGGTGTATCGTCCCGAATTACAAGAATTACACACTTTTCATACATTATTTCAGGGATAGACGTGTATCCTGTTCAAGTATTTGTATTGATATTCCGATACCAGCAACAGGCATGTTCCTTGATGAATTTGTGAAAGACAAATGTCAATATGACATTTTCATGATTTATCAACTTTTGATATGACATTCTTCTATTTGAAAAACCTTCAGGACATTTTGGATAGCAGAACTTTGGACCTGAAACCCTGCAACCATGAGTTTTTCTGTTGCCCTGTGAGTTTAATCTACATTCAAGAATATAATTAGAAAACTGTGACTCAATCATCACACCCCAAGACATTGCATGAAATGATCATGATGGTGTTTATTGTATGACACTGGGCAGTGTCTTGGGCATGTTGGGAGCAGATAATATCAAACATTGGGTCAGATTGGGTCTCAAGCACCCTATACATGTTAGAGAACAACATGGATTGGGAGGTTACTGTGTTTGATCTGGCTGATTGTGATCCATTTTGACCCGACATCACAGATTGTTGCTCATGCTGTCCATCATCGGTTTGTCTTGTGAAGACTGAATTATTTACAGATTATATGACAATAATTTTGACTTAGGCAGTAGACATTCACACACTCATCTGAAAATCACTTGAATTCATCCCATTATGTTCGGGGCAAACTGACCATGACATAGCTATAACCCTTCATCAGTGTTCATTGATCAGACCGTAATTAAGATCATGGTGGTGGTGGTGCTTTAGCAGCAGTTGGTTGCTTTCAGTTATTTTTGTTTTGTATTATTTTTCAGCTTATTTGCCTGAAGAGCATGACATAGATGGGCTTTGATAAAATCTGCAGATGCGTTGTAACAGAAAAATGTTCTGGAAACACCTCATGACGGTACATCCTTGACCTTTTAACTAACCTTTAAAGAGTCTCACGTACAGACAGTTCGCGAGCACGCCTAATCCTGCTTGATTGCATTACAGTAACACCGTTATGCATCCCAACATGTTATACTAACCCATCATCCAATTATTGCCTTTGTAGCCTTGCAGGATGCTCAATAGAAATAGCATTGCTTCCTCCATGCTGTAGTCCTCCAAGCTGTCATCTGGGTCATGTTGGATGGTTTCAGGACTGCTTTTTACATTGGTTCTTGTACCTTTCCTTGTGACATCTTGGAACGATTTTGACTTTTGAGGGGAAGAGGCTTTAATTAACAGTGAAATGTTTGATTGGCATTTTTCAAAGTTGGTAAGTCACAGTAAGGATAAGATATTTTATGGATGACAACTTTGTTTTTCTATTATGATTAACGTTTCGGTATTGATCATTATACCGTTGTCCTTATACTCTTGATTGATGACGGTATAAGGATTTATGTTGAAAGGTTGCATCATGAGAGAATAAAAAAGTTGTCTTTACTGTATAATTCAAGGGGGCACAGGTGGCCCAGTCGTCTGAGGGCCCGCAGTTCGCAGTGCAGAGTTGTGTCCCTTGGGCACACCAGAAACCTATGACTGTGGGTTTGAATCCCGGTTCGCCCCAATCATGTTTCTAGGTTTGTCAGAAACATCCGTGCTCGTGAGTTTCACCGAAGTGGTAAACGTCTGAGACCTGCATCTCCTCAGGCTTTCCTCCCACATTAAGCTGACATGCCGCGATATAACTGGAATACTGTTAAAAGCGGCGTTAAACCAAGCTAACTCACTCACAGTGTTTAACTGAAAGTGTTGCAGGGGTGGACACAATTGATCAAACCCAACTTGGCAGCAGCTCATTTCAGACTAGTTATATAAAATAACTACATTTTGGGAGAAAACATCTGGTCTCTCTGGACTAGTGGCTGTGTCTATCCCTGCTTGTGGAACATTCTGATGGATTGATATTTGAATGTATTGGAGTATGGTGTGACTAAAGCTTGATGAAATCACTGTAAGGAGTTTGTAGTAGTGGATTGCTGTAATGTATTAGGTGTAGAGACTGTCAGAAGTCAGAGGTTGTTGTAGTGCTGATGGCTTTTATGGTAATGTAGCTTGTAGATATCTTCTTGTATTTAGCTTGTCAGTGTGTATGAGTAAAATAATCAGCCATATTAAGAAATATGCATGCTATACACAAGAAGAGACTGAACTTAAACTCAAGAAATGCAGACAATTTAGTTAAATTTACTGGCCCATCCATTTCATTAAAAAGACATTACGCTGAGCTCCAGATCAGCTTCATATTAGAGATGGATTGGATACATAATCAGTATCTTGTATTTTTTACTTTGCTATGAATTTTTTTGTTTTAACCTCTAGGCCATAAATTTGTATTATTTTTCGTTTCATGGCCCTGCTGCGCCAACTGAAAAGCAGCTGGTCCAAGAAAATAATTAAACATAAAAATCATTATCTTTATTATGTCTCCAGCTAGTAATCATGGTAATATAGATCCTCTTATACAATAAAAGCTGTTATATATAAATTCCATGTCTCCGTTGCTAATAATCAGTGATTCAGGAAGCCAGCGACAGTTTTAACTCCACGTCAGAGTGACTTTAATATAAATAAATAATTGACATAGCTGTTTATTTTTGTTTCGACTGACCTTGTGTGAAAAAGTTGGAATAAATCCTTGGAACAAAAATTAAAACAGTGTGGCCCTGCGTGGTCTAGTGCAAACAACAACCCTTTGTCTATTTGTGGCCCATGATGCAAACCAAAAATTGACAAACCACAATTTCATCAGTAATACAAAAAAGAATTTGTTATGGGGTGATTATCTACCATGCTTACCGACTTGTCAGCCTGGTGAAATCAGCATATTTGAGATTGAACCAACAGTAAGCCACAGATGAATCCTTAACACCATAGACTAAATGAATGAATGAATGTTATGTAAACTGTTCCTGACAGTTTGTAGCTACCATATTCGAATACAAGGGTAGAAATTAAATGAGAATGAAGAGCTTAAATCATTGAAATAGTGAATGAAGAATGAAACAAACAAACAAACACAGAAGACCTTACCGAATCAGTTTGCAGGCCGGATTTGGTTCTTGGAGTTGATTTCAGATTTAGAGAGTTATGTTGAATAGTTTCAGTTAATTCAGAATTTGTTTGACTAATGCACTTTAAATGGTTGTGAAAACTAGTGTTCACAATATGCAGCATCACAATTGTTATCATGGTTATGCTCTGTATTGTTGTGAACAAGACTAACCCTTGATTCAGTACACTCTCTGTTCATACAACCTGTCACATGAACATTTGTATTTCCCTATCAGTGTTCAGCATTATGAATGAAAGTCAAGGAATCCTTTTCAGGGTTTTAGATCAGCTCATTTTCTAGGACACTGACTGATTTTCATCCAGAATGTCCTGAGGATACTTTTCAAATTCAGTAATGATATGGAAGAATGTCCTGTTAAAAAGTGATAAGATCATGAAAATGGCCTATTGCCATTTGTCCCCAGAAAAAACACAGTGACCTTATTGTTACCACTTAAAGTGGGGCGGATAGCCTTGTGGTTAAAGTGTCTGCTCCTAACCCTGCAGACCTGGGTTCAATTCCCCCATTGGGTACAATTTCAGTGTCTGAAGTCCAGTTCTTGTGTACCCACGTTGTGATATTGCTGGAATATTGCTAAAAGCGGCCTAAAATCATTCTTACTCATTTTCTCAAAAGTTAAAGATTCATGTGGGCACTGGATTCAAATCTCGAGAACCCTGAATTTTGAACACTGCGTATAAAAAATGTAAAATGTGACAAAGAATGTGGTGAATGTGTGTATGTTTCTGTTTGTTTTTAGTTATGTTGGTTGTTTATGCATGTTGTGGGTGTTAAAGTTATATATCATTGCATACAACTATATAACTTGGCCTATATACATGATATAGTTCCCTGTATATTTTGTCATGGGACCTTTGAGTGAACACATCTTTAGTTTCCCCTCGGCATGCTATGATAAAACTAAGTCTTTGAACATGTTGAAATGACATACGCATACTTGTAGAATACAGATCACTACTCTAGTGACACTTTCAGTCAAGCAGCAGTTCATTTTAATCATATGTACTACTAAAAAAAAGTTTTTGGATGACATGATTCTTTCATATTGCTATTGTTAATCTGTCATGTCATATGGTATATATGACATGCAATCTCATTAAAATCAGATCTTAGTTTTTGCTACCGCCAAACAAAGATCTGAGGACATCCCATTACAGGTCACGTCAGAACGACCTCTCGCGAACTTTGACCGATCAATGAAATGACTGACAAGAAATCGACGTTAGCCAATCATAAGGCAGCTTTATCAAGCTTAACGACACTAGTTTCAAACCGGCGACTACGCTTCAAAACATATTTTGACGTATTCTCAGTTAAAAATTTTAAAACTGATAAAAAGAACATTCTGGAATGGCTTACAGATGGCCTATATTGTATGGATATAATCATAAAACCCGTAACTGTCGTTCGGAATACCTTCTGTTAAATATTTCGAGGTTGCATGATCAGAAAACACATTCCATCTGTCACTTTCATGATCTGGTAGGCGAGGCTCTGAAAAAGAAAAGTCGTTCTGATGTCACCCGTAACGGGATGTCCTCAGATCTTTGTTCAGCGATAGCGAGAACTTAGATCTGATTTTAATGAGATTGATATGACATGGAAAGGTAGGTTCAGCCATCAGCTGACCATAGAATAGAAGAGTTTTATGCAAATCTATTTTATTTCAATAAAAGTACTTTGCAGAAATAAGTTGATATGACCATGAGTGTATTGAACACAAGCCAACAGGAAAAATATTGGGTTTTCATATCATAAAAAAATAATCCTTTGAAAGTATTTGATCATACAAAAAAACAAAGATATGATGTACAGTATACTGAAGATTCATATCTTGTATGTATTATAATGATTATATATATCTGTATTGTATCATCATGATCATTGTCACATTGTTATTTGAAACTGTCTTTGTTGTCTTTGTTTTGGTGTCCAAGGTGAGTTGTGTCACACAGAACTAACAGTCGTGTTTTGTTTCAGACCTCGGGGATCAGCCAACCCAGCATCTATCATGCTCTTGTTGTTATTTTCCTCGAGTTTTTCGCCTGGGGTCTGGTCACCAGTCCTATCATCACAGTGAGTATAAGCATGATAAGTTGAATATCATGTGAAAATTCCGGGGAAGAATACTTCTTCAGTAACCCATGCTTGTCGTAAGACGCGACTAATGGGATCAGGTGGTCAGGCTCGCTGACTTGGTTGATGCATGTCATTTATCCCATATGCGTAGATTGATGCTCATGATGTCAATCACTGGATTATCTGGTCCCAGCTCGATTATTTACAGACCGCTGTCATATAGATGGAATATTGCTAAGTGCAGCGTTAAAAAAAAGAAGAAACAAACAAAACAAGTGGAATAGAATATGTACATTGATGTACAATAACTGTATACAGTCAGAACCAAAAACATTTGAGTTTTCTAACCTTGTCTTGGCTTGTAGCATTATTGTCAGTAGAATTTAGTGTTATGTGGATTAATATTAGCTAAGCTTACCAGATCGGACAGAATTTACTCGACAAGGGCTTGGGACCATTGGCTGAAGTCACAGACAGTATGATAGTTCCCAGATGTTTATTCCTTGATGTTTATCTTTTTTTGTTTAGCCATTATTATTCGACAACACTCACATCTTCTTGTTACCTAGGCAGTATCCTAATGACACAAGGGCGGTCGGGTAGCCTAGTGCATGTAGTGGTTAAAGCGTTCGCTCGTCACGCCGAAGACCCAGGTTTGATTCCCAAAATGGGTACAATGTGTGAAGCCCATTTCTGGTGTCCCTCGCCGTGATATTGCTAAAAGCGGCGTAAAACCATACTCACTCACTCCTGATGACACAGATTAAAGAAAAGTGTTACTGTTTTGTACACTACTGACAGCCATCACAATGCAGCATGATGCAATGGAGATGATGAATGAGACAGGAGGTAGACTGAGAACAGAGCTTGAGAGCTGTGCAGCGTGGTACATGTTCCCATTGAAAATAATTCATTGTATTTCTTCACCAGGCTGTACTCAACATTTCGCTCAAAACCACATGGGTTATCTTGACATTTTATTGTGCGTTTCCATGAAAGCATTCGAAACTTAAAATCAATCCAAGGTTGAATGTATTATTAGAAATCTTCCTGAGACTGTTCAATATTTCTTTAGCATAGATCTTTGGATGCATTTGTCCTGATGAAGAAATACATGATAGTTTCTTTCGTCTTAAACATTAAACAGAATTAAAGAATTTGTTGTAGACTGGTGATATATGCTCAGTGTTCATGAAAAAATGGTTTTACTGGAACTTATCTGGAAGCTTGCTATTTCTGAAAAATGGAATTTTTTTCAGACCGAACATGTTGACATATGTCAGATAATGTTTGACTCCTGTTAAATAAGTTAATTACTGTAAATGTACACCTGTCATTACTTTTTTACTGATCCTCTGCTTATGGTAATTATTTATGTTCTCCCAGGTTCTGAATGAGACGTTCCCCAACCATACCTTCCTCATGAATGGACTCATCCAGGGAGTGAAGGTCAGTCTAGGTCACAGGGTCACCTGCATGACTCCAGGTTGCATGGTTGACCAGAGGTGTAGGGGTCATGGGGGCTGAATTAGAACATAAACATACTGTGTTTTCAATGTAGAGCTTGGTTACCTGCAGAATTAACTGCGCCAAATTGAATTTGCAACCAAATGCACAGCATGAGGTTTCAAATGTTAACTTTACCATGGTTATCACTCTGCACTTTGTAACCTATAATCGTACATATCGTTATTTCAAAATATCCACCGACAGTGATTGAGAAAGAAGTAATTGTATGAATGTAGCTTCGATGGTGATGTATGAATTGTTTGATAGGCATTACTTAGAAGTTGACAGATGACAAAGTAGACATAATTTACGGATAACTACTTCTTTAATTTTTGTAAAGGCAATGTTATGTTATAGATCCTTATACCGTTGTCAAGCAAGACAACGACAACTAGACAGTCCTGCTTGAAAACGGTATATAAAGGTTCTATACCGAAATGTCACCTTTACAGTAATTAAAGAAGTCGTTATCCGTAAATTGTGTTGATTTTGTGAAGGTGATGTAGCTGTCAAACCTGCTGTTTTAATCATAGGTGGTTATGGTGATTTGAACCTTTTGATTAACCAATCACCAACCTAATGTGGGAGGAAATCCCGGTGTGATGCTGGTTGTAGACTTTAACACTTTCATAAAACCCCTGAGTACAAGGAAAGTGATGATCAATCAAGGATCTACCCCGTAAAGGTTCTGGGGTAGAATAGGTCTTCAGTAACCCATGCTTGCCGTAAAAGGTGACTATGCTTGTTGTAAAAGGCGACTAACAGGATTGGGTGGTCAGGCTCCCTGACTTGGTTGATGCATGTCATCAATCCCAATTGCGTTGATTGATGCTCATGATATTAATCACTGGATTGTCTGGTCCAAACTCGATTATTTACAGACCACCGTCATAAAGCTGGAATATTGCTGAGTGCGGCGTTAAACAACAAACCAACCAATCAAGGATCTTAAATGGAAGGAATCTACCATGTACAACAGCTTTGGTGCTATTGTGCAATGTCACACAATGTCACACAATGTCACAAGACTGTTTCACATCAAAAAACATTGTTCATATTATTCAAGATAATTCCAATTAATTCTCGGTTCTACTCTCTGTTAAGTATCTGTTCAAAATAAAAGCAGACTTGTGATATTTCTATGAATGACATTCCACACTTGACACTCTGCTCTGAATATTCTGCTGTAATCTTTGTTGTCTCTTGGGGATTAGAACTGCTAGTTTATGTCTATGCACATTCATTATGCGTGCACAAATGAGCTCCGAGTGTTCAGTGTTTCTGTGTGTGACATGTCATCTGTTGCACATGCTGTCACCAGTGTCAGTGTGCATTACAGAATATGAAAGTGAATGATAATATCATGTGACTGAACCAGCTGGTGGTTTGGATACAAACAACGAATTTGATGAAACTGTTAGGGAAAAGGCAACTATGACACAATTTCATACCAATCAGAAATATTTGATGATAATCCAGAGAGCTTTTCAGGCAGCTTTTGAAAATAGTGATGTAACTGTAATATTGCTGTCTACAGCTTAAAAAAACAATGGTCACTGTCACTCCTTGCCTGGGCTTAAGAGACTAATCATTTTCAGACAGAATCTGAATCATTTAGCTGTAATTAAACCTGAATCATTACTGCCATCAGTCATATGTCTGTCATGATTTAACTAAAACAGTTCAGTAATTTGCCTGATGACATATCGCTTATTGAAATGATTCCCTCTAGGTTATAATTAACATGACCATGTTGTTGTTGTTGCAGGGGATGTTGTCGTTCCTGGCTGCACCCCTGATTGGTGCACTGTCTGATGTGTGGGGCAGGAAGCCCTTCCTGGTCTTCACCGTGGCCTTTACGTGTGCCCCCATACCTCTCATGAGAATCAGTCCATGGTCAGTATATCACTGTAGACTTTGTGTGCCCCCATACCTCTCATGAGAATCAGTCCCTGGTCAGTATATCACCGTAGACTAAACGTGTGTCCCCATACCTCTCATGAGAATCAGTCCCTGGTCAGTATATCACCGTAGACTTTACCTGTGTCCCCATACCTCTCATGAGAATCAGTCCCTGGTCAGTATATCACCGTAGACTAAACGTGTGTCCCCATACCTCTCATGAGAATCAGTCCCTGGTCAGTATATCACCGTAGACTTTACCTGTGTCCCCATACCTCTCATGAGAATCAGTCCCTGGTCAGTATATCACCGTAGACTTTACCTGTGTCCCCATACCTCTCATGAGAATCAGTCCCTGGTCTGTATATCACTGTAGACTTTACGTGTGTCCCCATACCTCTCATGAGAATCAGTCCCTGGTCTGTATATCACCATAGACTTTACGTGTGTCCCCATACCTCTCATGAGAATCAGTCCCTGGCCAGTATATCACCGTAGACTTTACGTGTGCCCCCATACCTCTCATGAGAATCAGTCCCTGGTCAGTATATCACCGTAGACTAAACGTGTGTCCCAATACCTCTCATGAGAATCAGTCCCTGGTCAGTATATCACCGTAGACTAAACGTGTGTCCCCATACCTCTCATGAGAATCAGTCCCTGGTCAGTATATCACCGTAGACTAAACGTGTGTCCCCATACCTCTCATGAGAATCAGTCCCTGGTCAGTATATCATCGTAGATTTTATGTGTGCCCCCATACCTCTCATGAGAATCAGTCCCTGGTCAGTATATCACTGTAGACTTGACGTGTGCCCCCATACCTCTCATGAGAATCAGTCCCTGGTCAGTATATATCTGTAGACTTGACGTGTGCCCCCATACCTCTCATGAGAATCAGTCCGTTGTCAGTACGTATGTACCACCTTGTTGACATGATACCTTCACATTACCGCGGTATTCACTGCATGTCTTGTGTGTTTCAGGTGGTATTTTGCCATGATATCTATATCTGGCGTGTTTGCAGTGACATTCAGCGTGGTATTTGCCTATGTGGCTGATGTCACCTCGGAGGAGGAGAGGAGTGCAGCCTATGGCTTGGTGAGTGCCTTCTGTCAAACCCCACCTTAAAACAAGCACCTGCTGTTTCTTGCTGTATCTTTCCAGGGCCATTAACAGGCTTGAAGTCCACAGTATCCTATGTTGGTAGTGTAAGCCCTACAACATGGGGATTGTGGTTACAGTGGGTGCCCTGGCTGTATGGAGGTCAACACACTCGGATTGCATTGCTGCATCTGCTTGAAACCTGGGGATGTGCTTTACCAAGTGGTTTAGCCAAGATGGTCATCACATGGGGCACAATGGGGTGTTGGGGTAGCACATTTGGTTGTCATGCTGAAAACCTGGTTCGATTCCCCATTTGGGTTCAATATGAGAAGCTCCCTTCTGGTGTCCCCACCATGATATTGCTGGAATATTGCTAAAAGCAACATAAACTAAAGCCCACTCACTCACATTGAGCACAATGTGTGAACTCACTTCTGGTGTCCCCTGCCATGATATTACTGGAATATTGGACTCACTCACTCACTCACTCACTCACTCACTCACTCACTCACTCACTCACTCACTCACTTCACTCACTCACTCACTCACTCACTCACTCACTCACTCACTCACTCACTCACTCACTCCTAGTGCCTACAGATGTTTGGTCCTGAGTCATTCATATCGAAACTGCCATGATAATACTACTGTGACTGCATACAGCTTAATGTGACAATTTGATCTGTATCTTTTGACCTTATGTTAACATATATGCAATAAACATTCGTGGCTCAAGACGAATATCCATGTGTGTTGTTAATCCGTGACTATCATTTCTCATGTTGTAAACTGATTACTGACATATTTTTAGTTTTGAAGTGTATTTGCAAATTTCCCAGATAGGATGAACACTTTGGCATTTAAAAAGCACATTGATATAATAAAGAAGTTCGAGCCTTGTTTTCAAATTTGTTTTTGAGAGTTTAACACTGAACATTGTATTTGCCAACAAACTGTATACACCTGAAACAATAAGAAAGGAATATGCTTGCAGAGTGGGTCAGGAAACATAATAAACAATGTATTTCCATTTCCGTGAAGGTATCGGCAACATTTGCTGCCAGCTTGGTGACGAGCCCTGCTATCGGCGCCTACCTAGGCAGCATGTACAGTGATTCGCTGGTCATCTGGATAGCCTCCGCTGTGGCACTGTTAGACGTGCTGTTCATCATGGTGGCTGTGCCAGAGTCGCTGCCGGAGAAGCTCCGTCCAGCCAGCTGGGGGTCACAGATTTCCTGGGATAAGGCAGACCCATTCGGGGTAGGGATGTCATTGTGTTGGATGTGGACTGTGGACTGGGACTGTAGTCCTTTATGCTGTAGGGATGTCATTGTGTTGGATGTGGACTGTGGACTGGGACTGTTGTCCTTTATGCTGTAGGGATGTCATTGTGTTGTTTGTTGACTGTGGACTGGGACTGTGGTCCTTAATGCTGTAGGGATGTCATTGTATTGGTTGTGGACTGTGGACTGGGACTGTGGTCCTTTATGCTGTAGGGATGTCATTGTGTTGGTTGTGGACTGTGGTCCTTTATGCTGTAGGGATGTCATTGTGTTGTTTGTTGACTGTGGACTCGAACTGTGGTCCTTTATGCTGTAGGGATGTCATTGTGTTGTTTGTTGACTGTGGACTGGGACTGTGGTCCTTTATGCTGTAGGGATGTCATTGTGTTGGTTGTGGACTGTGGGCTGGGACTGTGGTCCTTTATGCTGTAGGGATGTCATTGTGTTGGTTGTGGACTGTGGGCTGGAACTGTGGTCCTTTATGCTGTAGGGATGTCATTGTGTTAGATGTGGACTGTGGACTGGGACTGTTGTCCTTAATGCTGTAGGGATGTCATTGTGTTAGATGTGGACTGTGGCATGGGACTGTGGTCATTTATGCTGTAGGGATGTCATTGTGTTAGATGTGGACTGTGGCATGGGACTGTGGTCCTTAATGCTGTAGGGATGTCATTGTGTTAGATGTGGACTGTGGACTGGGACTGTGGTCCTTTATGCTGTAGGGATGTCATTGTGTTAGATGTGGACTGTGGACTGGGACTGTGGTCCTTTATGCTGTAGGGATGTCATTGTGTTGGTTGTGGACTGTGGACTGGGACTGTGGTCCTTTATGCTGTAGGGATGTCATTGTGTTGGTTGTGGACTGTGGTCCTTTATGCTGTAGGGATGTCATTGTGTTGTTTGTTGACTGTGGACTGGGACTGTGGTCCTTTATGCTGTAGGGATGTCATTGTGTTAGATGTGGACTGTGGTCTAGGACTGTGGTCCTTTATGCTGTAGGGATGTCATTGTGTTGGTTGTGGACTGTGGACTGGGACTGTGGTCCTTTATGCTGTAGGGATGTCATTGGTGCTTGTTGTTGCTAGGGGTGTAACCAGGGATCTGAAAATATTTTAAAAAGCAGCAAGCAGCAACTAAAATAACATGATTTTGGAATATATTATTCCTGATAAAATAATAATTTGAGATACAGTTTGTTCCGACCATTGCATTAAAATTCTTTGAAGTTGTATCATTGGGTACTTTTTGACCGGTAGATTGCTATTTCTGGGTTAGTTTACGAGAAAATACACACAGTAATCTTAATCTCTGCATATAAAACAATGCCTTGGAGAACAGGAAATACAAGTTAAAAGGTAAATCATCATGTCTAGCGAATTATATCAAATTTCATATTTTTACTGTTCGTTCACCTGAATTCACTGAAGCCAGGGATAGATCTACGAGGTGCTTTATAGCGTACAACACTCGATAGATACACAGATCAAATATATTCTATTTCAACCTATCAGGATGTAGGTCAGTGTGCCTATGGTGATTGATGTTGACCGAATTTTAGAATTTCCGGTTTGCACTATTTTCAACTCAGACATTTTGCAGTCTCAATTGGATAAATCCGGCGCACAGACCGATTTCGGGATCCTTGGGTGTAACAATACATCAGATTTTCAGAGCATTGTGATACCTGGTGCCATGATTTGATTATTGTATTGACAGGTTGATACTTGTATGCTATGAACATCAACTGTTAAATGTTACATACTTCTTTCTGATTGTATGTAAGGGGTTGCAAGCCACTGTATTTATAATTGATTCAAATCCACTAAATATGTTTTACTTGGGCTAATATTGATTACCTTTGATGATGAAAATGTTTCCTCAGCTTGACAAGTGTGCTGTTTTCATGCATCTTACTGTAAAGGGGGTACATTGGTGTTTCATTTTGTGGAAATATTCAGCCACAAAGTCATTGTAGTCATTTTGAATACATTGAATGACTCGTATCAATCTTTTGTATGGCTTCAGTGTCAAGACTACCATTGTCTTGTTTGTTTCAGTCTCTACGCAAAGTCGGACAGGACAACCTGATCATGCTGCTGTGTGTGACCGTCTTCTTGTCCTACCTCCCAGAGGCTGGAGAGTACTCATGCTTCTTTGTTTATCTTAGGAATGTAAGTCCCTCGTTGCAATAGTTGCACAATAGGTCAATTTGTCATTGTAGTAGTTGCACACCATGTCAGTCCCTCATTGCAATAGTTGCACACCATGTCAGTCCCTCATTGCAATAGTTGCACAATAGGTCAATTTTTCATTGTAGTAGTTGCACACCCTGTCAGTCCCTCATTGCAATAGTTGCACACCATGTCAGTCCCTCATTGCAAAAGTTGCACACCATGTCAGTCCCTCATTGCAATAGTTGCACAATAGGTCAATTTGTCATTGCAATAGTTGCACAATAGGTCAATTTGTCATTGTAGTAGTTGCACACCATGTCAGTCCCTCATTGCAATAGTTGCACACCATGTCAGTCCCTCATTGCAATAGTTGCACAAAAGTCAATTTGTCATTGTCTGGTCTCGATTATTTACAGACCAACTTTATGTAACTAAAATATTGTAGATGGTTCAACAACAAACAACAAAAGCTATAAATACAACGTTATTTTAATAAACAAAACTTTAAGATTGAACAGCATTACAATGATTGTTTTCCAGATAATGGGCTTTTCTGTGGAGGAAACTGCCTCGTTTATAGCTGTAGTGGGCGTGTTGTCTGTTCTTGCACAGGTGAGTGGGAGACAGGTGGAGTTGTCAGCCACACCTGGTAGCCTACAGGTTCATGTATAGCTGTATATATTATTGAATGAGCAGATTTTTCTGATGTTGGAATTTCTAATGCAATTGACAAAGTGATACTTTGATTTTTTTTACTGAAAGACAGTATTTCTAGTTTTTTCAATTGTGCAGTGAAGCCAGCGACATTTCAGGAACCATCAAAGATATATTAATTTGTCCATAATTTGAGACAAGTAGAGAGCTTGGTTAGACCATAAAGACACTGCCAGGATGATAAAGCTTCGTTGTGCCGAACAATAAAACGAGTAGCAAAGATTGGGTGTTTACTATAACTGTTTAAATTCGATTTCAAGTGTATGCTGTTTATCAAAATGATTTTTATTGTGATTATTTTCCTTTCAGACTCTTATCCTTGCTTTAATAATGAAATACCTGGGACCAAAGCAGGCTATTCTATTTGGCCTAGTGTTTGAAGTAATCCAGTTAACATGTTATGGCTTCGGATCACAAACATGGTGAGTGTGACATTACTTTACACATTGTTTGAAATAACCTACTTAAACAGAGACTATACTTTCAACATAACTTCTTTGAGTGGCATTTAGAAGTTGGAGTGATAAAGTAAGACTGTGGCGACTCATATGTAGGAGAAACATCCAGGCCCCTACACATTAGAATAAAAGAACACAAGACCTCAGTACAAAAAAATGACTCAAAATCAGCCATCTCCGACCACACCCAAACCCACCCCGACCACAACATCCAGTGGAACAGCATCAAGATCCTGGCCAACAACCAATCAGACTACAAAATCAGGAAACTCCTAGAAGCCATCCACATCAAAAGGATCCAGCCAGCAATGAACAGAGACCAAGGCTATTACATCCCGCCTGCTTACCATCACCTAATTGCTCAATCCCTTTGTCCATCCAATTAATACAGTGGCTTCCATCATCTCCATCAGTTAGCTTGTTTACTCTGCTAGTATACTCTGTGTTCATCAGTCACCCACTGGCTTCAATTAGCTTAATCACCTCTCTGTGGCCATCAACTAGTCACTGTAACAACCTAGATGTCAATAAGTGTATATATAACTATTTTGTTTAGCCCTATCCATCACTTGCTTGATAAAGGTGTTAGGATCTACACCAAAACGTCGCACCAATTGTAATAAAGAAGTTGTTCATCCATAGAACTCGTCTTACTTACTTTCAACATGTTCATCCATGACAACAATGAATGTGCCACATATAATTTTGAACTACGATTTATGTTACATATTATTTTATTAAAACATTGTTTAGAGCCAGATAAAATGGTATTGTATTATCTAGTGTACAGTCATGCCCCGCTTATATGGACTTCAGATATCCGGACGATTTTCATTCAAAACGAAATATTTTTTACTTATCCTGCATTACTCCTTAATGCATTCACTGCTTACTTACGACAACTAGAAGGACAGCGCTGCGAAGGTCCTGGGTGAAGAAATAAAGTTGTTGTTCTCAAGTCCCAATCAGTGGCCTTCCGTCGCTGTCCTGTGACCTTGATGACACCTAAGGTCATCTTCACATCACTGCTTGTCGCAGCACAGCTAGGACGTGTCCAAGCGGAGCTCTCCTTTTGGATTAATTTTAGACCTTCAGTTTGTCTACAATCTTAAAAATTGATCTGCGATGGGTGATGTATTCTTTTCATATTACTTTCACCATGTTGTGTAGTTTTATATGAATTAATTAGGCGTGAAAAGACGCTTGTCTTTTTTCCCGCCAAAATATTGTTGTTCGCCGCCATTTTGAATTGTGTTACAATCGTTTGCCTGCCAAGGTAGTCATATTGTTTACAATTCTCAGCTACGTATGTATAACATATTCTTATGTTCTTAAATATTACTAGCTTTGGCGTAACAGTGAGTTGCGTATACTAAAATTATTGTATACTTTTTCAACTCGTTAAAAATATGGTTGCCGATAGATTAATATCAAATCTACGGCTTTCTTCCAGTCCCGCTTCATCAACAATTCTTTTATTGTGTACCTATGTTTATGCGATTAAATAGTTTTTTGTTGGTATTTTTGGTTTTACATTGAGTTGCGTATATGAACTATTGTATACTCTTGCAACTCGTAGTTTTTGCCGATAGATTATTGTTCAATTCTATGGCATTCTTCCAGTACCGCCTCATCAACAATGGCGTAATTGTGTTTAATTTAAACATATTTTATTGACATATATGGTCAACGGGATTGGGCAAAAGTTATCCAACTTAGGTGGCCCTTTCCCTACTCTATATGTACAGACATTGAATATACATATATATATGTAATTGTGTAACTTATGATTGAGCGTGGTATTAATTGTCGTGGGAAAAATCTTACAAAGATTATCATCCACGTTGTTTGGTTTGCGCGCAGATGTGCTCTCCAAACCCTAAATGAAAATATAAATACCCTTGGTTTACATTGGGTTGCGCATACAAAAATATTGTATATCCTTGCAACTCATAAATTTGCCGATAGATTAGTGTTCAAATTCTTCGGCACTCTTCCAGTATTATCTCATCAACAAGGGTTTCATTGCGTAACATACCTTTGAGCATTTTACTAATTGTCGTGGAAAAAACCTTACAAGATTATCATCCACGATTGGTTGGTTTGCGCGCGGATGTGCTCTCCAATCTCTAAATGTAAATAGCCTTGGTTTACATTGAATTGCGTATATAAAAATATTGTATACCCTTGCAATTCGTATTTTTGCCGATAGATTACTGTTCAATTCTACGGCATTCTTCCAGTACCATTTCTTCAATGGTTTAATTGCGTAACATAATTATGTTTGCTCGGTGTACATATTGTCGTGGAATAATCGCCCAAAGCTCTTTATCCACGGTCAAAGGCATGCACGTAGATGTGCTCGCCAAAATTCAAAATGTAATTTTTATGTAAATCTCTAATCCAACGAGTTTACTATATAAAAGCAGATTACTCACAATCATATTTTGCAGTTATTCCGTCGTGAGACGAGAGGAATGTCACTATCGCAGAATAGCGAATGACATATGGTTCTGTCATTACCACCCAACCGTTATTATCGGCAGGTATTATGACGACTGTGATTGCAGAAGTACACCATCCACCGAAATCAACAATACCGGAGGATTTTGTGAGTATCGTAACTGCTCCTATTTTTTCAGCCGCCGGACACTTCCAGATACATGTATGATAATCTGTGACGTCGGCGACAGCACCAGCGTATCGAGATGCTATGATGGGGGTAGATTAGACACAAGCCTTGATCCAGTCAATACTTTTGAGCTTTGTGTCTGATTTATCTGCGCCGAGCGCAGCACTTGACTACAACCAAAGCACTTCTATTACGCAATCGGCGCACGATCAGCTTAGCGCTGTTCCAACATATCCAGCATAGACCTGCGCCGAGCGCAGCGTCTGACTGATACCCAAGCGCTCCTATCACGCCAGTGACGCACGATCAGCTTAGCGCTGTTCCAACATATCCAGCATAGACCTGCGCCGAGCGCAGCGTCTGACTGATACCCAAGCGCTCCTATCACGCCAGTGACGCACGATCAGCTTAGCGCTGTTCCAACATATCCAGCATAGACCTGCGCCGAGCGCAGCGTCTGACTGATACCCAAGCGCTCCTATCACGCCAGTGACGCAAGATCAGCTTAGCGCTGTTCCAACATTCCAGACCTGCGCTGAGCGCAGCGTCTGCGTATCAATCAAGGTCTCTACAATGACGTTAGCCCAAGGCTTACAGTGTACCGGTTACGTAACCGGCACATGATCAGCTTAGCACATGTACCCGATTGGGAAGCAGACCATCTCGTGTCAGTAACGCCTTCCCCTGATAACAGGGTAAATAAGAGGGACACCACGAGGTCATTGGAGGAAGCCTTCTCCAAAACTCACATTTGCTCCGTGATTTAAGCGACCAATATCGTCAATGTTTGCAGTGGATCAGAATCTATTAGAGGATAACCCTATCTGATTAGATCACTTCCAAACTATGGTGTTTTTCCTACAGCGTCAGTTTGACCACAGGAAAATTCATCTTGAGACCGTTCTGACGGTGATTACCGTTACACCCAAGACTTTATAGCGTTTCCAACTGAGATGCTGGTTTCAAGGGCAGTCTATTACGTCAACCTTGATCATCTACTCCCCTGTTCAACGAACAGATCGCAGACACGCACGTCAAGTTCCCAAAAAGCTTGGAAAGTCCAAGTCAGGGAATTATAAGCCTAGACGCGCGTTTCTCAGGGAAGACCAGCATTCCCTTACTGAGAAAGGGAGTGGCAGAGACAAGTCTCAAGGACGATTTCGTACTTATCGCACTATATCATGGTGTCCGTATAAGGGTAGAGTTAACCCCACCGTTGACCACAGTTTGATTGGGAAAATCCAACATAGACATACTGTTGGTAAGAAGAGCTGTAGAGTGGGTTCACAACCCAGTCTTTACTCCGGGGTTTTATCCTCACACCTACCTGGTACTCATGAAGGACCCAGACAAGATGAGAATGATCCACAATCTCTGTGTTCAACGAACGTTTTATTCTTCATCAGTCTCGACTATCCATCCCAACCGTAGACTTTTCAGGTCCAGTTCATTGGGGTTCACTACCAATGGTAGTATTTCCCATTTGACATGTCAGTGACACTTATGGCTATTTACAGGAGTAATGAAGCCAATAACTATCTACACGTGACGAACACTTGGTTCGAGTCGTAGATGGAGGGCGATCTACTGTATCATCAACACATGTCAATAACTGGGATAGACAATCAACGAGGCGAAGTCGGGAGTATTCTCCTTCCTTTTGACTTCAGTTCATAGGAGACCTGTTTAAGACAGACCAGGATATCCTATCTGTACCGAGGGACAGATGGCACAAGTTTCTACTTCTTTTGTCATCTACTCTACACCAACCACACACACTTCGCCAGTGGCAAGTGTTGCTAGGGTTAATCACCTCGGCACAGGAGTTAACTAGCATGGCCGCTTACAACAGCAACCAATTCAATTTTTTTCCTGAACCCTTACATCAGGAGTCAGGATCCACTCAAGGCCATCACTCTACCAACTAAGCTAGAGCCTCAATTTGTGGCGCTGAATGTCTGCGGAGTCTGTTTATTCGGATTTTCCCCGAATACACACCTGTTTGTGGACGTCCCTTTTCAGGGGTGGAGTCTTCACTTACAAGACCAGATAAGCTCAGGGCTATGGCCCGGCGCACAATGGAAGTGGCACATAAACAACTTGGAGTTGGAAGCTTTAATTCTGGCTATATCACATTGGCAGAATCAACTACAGTTAGCCCGACTCGCTATATCCACAGACAACAGCACTGCGGTGTGGTGCCTGTGCAATCGGGGAACAACACACTCCCACTCTCCACTTCTAAGGACATTCAGATTTCTTCCATCTAGTGGATCGGCTGTGACTAAGGTTCATAGTTCAGCACATCCCCGGATGTAGAAACATACTGGCCGATACTTTATCACGTCCAGACAGGGTGGCTCCCACTGAGTGGAAATTTCTCACAGAAGCATTCCAGTTACTGCTTCAGGAATTCAGGCAACCAAACATTGACTTGTTTATTACTTGCCTAGGCCACCAACTCATGACGTATATCTCCCCGTTGCCGGATCCGCAGACTTGGGCGGTGGACGAGTTCAGTATCACTTGGGAAGTGCAAAGAACTAAAACTCTTCTGCCACCACTTTTACTTCCAAGGTGCTACAGGGGATCAAGGAGACAAGGTATCTCGATCTCTCCTTTGGTCGCACCATGGTAACCGGCGAGAGGGTAGTTCGTCAAGCTCGGAAAAATCTAAAACGATTCACTTCCCCTCTCACAGTGGTCCAACCTACTCATCCACCCTCAACAGAAAATTGCCTCACCCAACGTCTGCACGCATGGTTCGTCTTTAAAAGGCGTTTAAGTGCGAAGGGTTATTTCGACACGGGCAGCAAAGCTATAGCTTTAGTTCATCGTTACTCTCCCAGAGACGACGATGACAAGTGGGGATCACTTGAGACTTTTTACAGGGAAGAAAAGAATCAAGACCCTACGATTGCGTCACAATTCCTAGAGGAATACCTCCTACATTGCGTACCCAAAAACACTTGGAAGGTAGCACCATTACTACGTAATTGGCTGCAATTATCTTAGTGTTGGCCGTTTCCGGAAAATCACAGTGTGATTAAGGTCACGGAACTACAGGCCATATTATGCTCATTCAGGTTTGAGGATCAGAAGGCCAAGTTCCAGCCACCTGATTGGGACTTGAACGTGGTACTTCGAGGTTTGCGAGGGCCCCCTTCGAGCCCCTCATTGCATCCTCATTTTCAAGCTCCTTCCCAGCGCGTGACACCTTCGTTACACTCTCGGTATAGTATAGAGAGCTCCGCGAACGGGCTATCGCTGTGAGGAGCTTGGACCTCACCAAGGAAACAATGGTTTTCTCTTGGCATTAGCAATGGCGGTACGGGTGAGCGAACTACATGTGGTCGACTCAACCCGGATCCGTTTTGAGCATGGGACGCACGGAACAGGACATCTAGGGTTATGCTGGGATTTTATTGCTAAAATCTACTACCAGGCCAACCCGACCGTTCTTCACCATCCCACCGATATCGACTATTGTGGGAATCGTACATGGTGAAGTTCTCCTGGGCTCGGTGCGAGCAGTTCGAGTTTTCATTCGACGCTCCAAGACAAGGCGTGGTTCGTCCACGACAGAAGTTAGTCGCATAATCGCAAACACCATATCTATATGGTTACGCGCAGTAATCCTTCAGGCCTACGAGATCATCAAACGGAACTCGCCGAGAGCGAATTACCCTCAAGATCTCAAGGTGTCAGCCTTACCAGGGCTCAACACGGCAATTGTGGTTTTGGAACAATCACGGAAGGATATTTCTGGAGATTCGACACATATTTTCGTTAGTCATAACCTTCGCGTTGTGACTCTCGACGATGTCAAAGACGTTCGAAGTTTGGCCCTCTGGTTGTTATCCTGCAGATTGCCAACCACTGACGCAAATAATGAACTCGCCCTATACAGAGCCAGTCAACTTCCATGTGCAGTCACTCAGTCGCCACCAGTGGAAGAATATTAGACAATCTTGTTTGTCAGCGACGGCTCTATGACGCAGTAAGTAAAGAATTAGCTGAATAGCTATTATTTTCTTTATTACTAAGCGTGTATAGGGAATTTCTCTTTAATTCCTATGTTCAATGTTTTTGATTTTTGAACAACCCTACCGTAATGGCGTTTTTGTCTGAACTTTTCCGCTTCACGGTTTATCGACCAAATGGGGTCGTATTGCAGGGTGTGAATTATTGAGGTTTCTGTATTCTGAAGGTTGACCCACCTCCAAACCGTCCGATACAGATGCATTAAGGAGTAATGCAGGATAAGTAAAAAATTTAGTAAAATCTAAATATTTTTTACATTTGTATACTTATCCTGCATTACTACGCTTAAGGCCCACCCGTCGTTAGACTTGCCTCCCCACTTTGGCTTCAGAAACCTCAAAAGTATGTTTTTCTAAGAGCTTGGGCGACAGGCAGTGATGTGAAGATGACCTTAGGTGTCATCAAGGTCACAGGACAGCGACGGAAGGCCACTGATTGGGACTTGAGAACAACAACTTTATTTCTTCACCCAGGACCTTCGCAGCGCTGTCCTTCTAGTTGTCGTAAGTAAGCAGTGAATGCATTAAGGAGTAATGCAGGATAAGTATACAAATGTAAAAAATATTTAGATTTTACTAAAATTACGATATAAATTTACCCGTATATACGGAAATTCAGTTTCCGGAACCGGATGGTCATTTTCATAGACAAAACACTGAAATGCACACAAAATTGTCTCACTTACGTGGACAATACACTTCCGCTGGTGGTAATCCTTTGATTCGTGAGAAATCAAGTGACACTGAGTTACGTTTGAGACGAGCTTGTTTATTGTACATGTAATCCCATTCGATAAATATGGCGTCTGTGGAGGTCATAGGTCATAGGTCAAAGTTGTGACTTCAAACTGTGAGTATGGCCTGTCAACCAGCGAAACGTAAGCGACACGCAGTTACAGCACGCGAAAAAATTAAGAAGCGGGTTTCAGTTATATGGAAATTTGTTTATATGGACGAATTGTGAAATGACGCAAGTGTCCGTATAAACGAGGCACGACTGTATAGCTTGTGTATAGTTTCATTGTTTTCAAAAGGTGTTGATAACTGCTCAGCCATTGTATAGTCTGTCTTGATTATATGCATGTAGCCACAGTATTGTCATAAGGATGACTGAGGCATAAAACAAAATTCACTCCTAGTTCAGTAAATTCTACACATGAGGAATGTTTCCTAAGGTTTTTGTTTCAGAAACAGCATGGCCTTACGGAACCTAGGTGTTACATTGTGTGATAGATACCCCAATGATTGTACTTGTGTTGCAGGGTCATGTGGTGTGCCGGCGGCGTGGCGGCGATGTCCAGTATAACATACCCTGCCATTAGTTCCTTTGTCTCAGCTCATGCAAGTGCTGATCAGCAGGGTAAGAGTTATCTCCCTTTACAGTGACACTTGCAAGCTCCTCACAGCAATAGTACGTTCCCGGAGCTCTCTATACTATCGCTGCCACCAGTCAAAACTCCCCACTGTGAATAGGTGGCCACAACCATGCTTGGAGTTGAACTCGCAACCGAATGACCGTTATGTTTACAAACAAGTGACGACTGTCGTGACGCCGAATACACTTATACATGTAGCTGCTAAATTACTTTCTTCGTTTGTCAATTTGAATTTCTGTTTCATTAAAACTATCGTGTTATTGATATAGTAAGAATGTAAGGGAGAAGTTGGTTGGTTTTCCGTTAGTCTGCAATCTCGAACCAATCTGATTATCAAAACAACAAAGTAAATTCATCTGGAAAACATGGTCAGTCGTAAACCTTTTCAAATTGAAATATGATGGCATTCCCAAAGACATAAACAAAAGTATAAACGTTACTACATTTGGGGTTAGAGGGCAAATTTCAAGATTCTTGTGATGGCCGCGCCCACACTGGTGGCAGCGATGTTACCGAGAGTGTAACGAAGGTGTCACGCGCTGGGAAGGAGCTTGTGACACTTGATCAGATTCACTCACACTTGGGACCCCCCCTGGCAGGCAATTTTGGGTAAAAAATCATAATCTTGTTCAAAATTTGATTTTTTTTAAAGTTATTATTTTCTTATATTTTGGTGTATTAGTTGAACATTGTTTTTTGAGATTGCATTCAATGTAATAATATGAAACTAAGCATTGAAACTTATTAATGCTAAGCATTATTGGTCCTGTTGTCAGTGAAATACAGGTTACTTCTGCAATGCCATAAAATTATTTATTAGTTATTACAGGAATTGGTAAATTTATAGTTCCAATTTGGGAGGTTTTAATGACATTTGCTTCAGACTTAAGGGCCAACTATCAGCATCTGGGCAGGTCCAGATTAACCCCTGCAAGGTGTTGTCATGGTAATGTTTTCACTGTTAAGCATGGTGTTGTTATCCCAATGTTCTGACTGTTGTACACAGGTGTCGCTCAAGGGATCATCACAGGTATCCGAGGCCTGTGTAACGGACTGGGGCCGGCAGTGTTCGGCTTCATCTTCTATCTCTTCCACGTAGACATCTCTGCCAATGGGAGCGAGCCACAGGGCCACAAGCACCCCAAAACATCTAACAACACATTTAGTCCCTTTCCTAAAAATTTCCAGGTATGACTGAAGTATTTTACGGAGAAAGTATCTTTAAACGTGATGATAATAGTTTTGTATCCACATAATGTATTGTCTTTCAGAAAACTTGCACTTAACATGTATGAAGGGAGACCACTTTAGATCAGAAAGTTTCAATTGTCATGTGATTGTGACTGTGTTGGAAACTTACTGATTATCCGAATTGCGTCATATCTCGAGTAATTCAGAGCTCCAGATAAGCTGCGTATCTGCGTAAAATACGCATCAGAAATTCAGAAATACGCAGTTAAATAAAATCCAAGCGAATACACAAAGAACATTACAGATAAGCTACAAAAATAAAACTTGTGCGTATCATCAACATTTTGTGAAGTAACCCTGCGTATTCGATTAACAAATCAGCAACTTATTTTGAAATTATAAACGGGCATTCCGTCAACCTTGTCAAACTCCACGATGACAGTTACATCATGATCATTTGCCATCACACTTTCTTGTGGAAGTATCGTGGTATTTTTGAGTCCTATAAAGCTCTCGAACCCACACGACACCAGTTTGCAGGGACTAGATGAATAGTGTTTTTAAATATTTAACTTAAATACCCACATGTGTAACAATTAGTGGGTAACAGAAATTTGAATACCCAGATAGAATTACTGATACCCAATGATTTTAAAATACATGGGTAAAATACCCACAACACCAAAAGCTTATCTGGAGCTCTGGTAAATGCTGGCCTTGGACAGATTCTTTTGTGGAGAATAAAACCTGAAACTATCTTATGTGACACATGGGGATGCCAGAATAGGTCCCCTGGGCTGAATGCCATTTGTATGACAGACTTCATTGGGAAACAGTGGTTTCACTGTTTGACATCATACCCCAACAGGGTGGATCGTGGCTCATGTGTCCATGGTTCCAGGTTTGCATGTTCCAAACTTGAATATTTACAGGCTGCCATGACATACCGTATTCGACGTAATAAGCGCCCAGGGCGCTCTCAAAATTGGAAATAGGGACTCTTATTAGAATATTATTTTGTTGAAAAAAAAAACAGAGTTGAAAGATAAATTTCGTGGTTTATGCTGACAGCCTGAAATGTTTATGTACGACAGATATATTTTTCCAGAATTTAATTGCCCATGATTAAGGTTGCTTATAACACTCGAGTGCGTATTATACGCGAAATAATAAGTCTTGTGTACATTGATCAATCGGAAGGGGTGCCAATTGGGATTCTTCACTAACCAATATATTATAATTAGCAAATATCGCCGTGGGCGCTTATTAGAGCGGGCGCTTATTACGTCGAATACGGTAGATGGAATATTGCTGTGTGTTATAACAACACTCATTCATAGATTAGAACATGTTTATTGTTGAATCCAAGCAGTTTCAGCTGCTGTTTGTTGACTTTTTGGTGCTGATCTGAGTGTGTATCAGTATCCGAAATAGGAGCCTGAAATATTTTTCTACGTGCCCGATTGTCTAGTAGAAAATTTCCTTGCTTCACTGACACGCACAATTCGTAATAGCACTGATATGTGACTCAAGATCACAAGATCTACATCTTTGACTATACAGCTGTAAATGTTTAAGGCACAGAGTAAAGTAAATCTCAGAAAAAGGATGATCTCTGGCCTGAAGCTTTCTAGACATGCAAGTTACATTTATGAGCCACCGGCCCACTTAGCTTGTGGGGAGAAGAACATATTTCTGACACTGCTGTGTATTGTTTCAGAATGTGGTGCCAGGCCCACCATTTGCATTTGGAGCTGTGTTGGTGATCCTAGCGTTGCTAGTTGCAGTCTTTCTCCCCGACAACCCACATGGTAATGTCAACAAGTCCTCCACCAAGAAGGTCCTGCCATTGTCATATGACTACCAAAAGGAATCAGGTGTGTAGCTTCAGATAAAGGTCGTAGGTAACAAGTATCTGCACCAGTAAACAACCTGTCTTAAACTTTTCTGAGATATTTCAGTTAAACTCTTAATGACTTTATCACATGCTCATTGCTTCTTTAAACGTGTTGCTTTGTATGTTGTTTTGCTAGGCACATTTGCTAATCCAGTTCACACTCTTTCTCTGGAGTGAGTGAGTGAGTGAGTATGGTTTGATGTCGCTTTTAGCAATATTCCAGCAATGTCACATCGGGGCTTTTTCTGTGGAAGCATGGAGACTAATGTATTGATGACACAGATAGGAACACGTCAAATTATGTGAGGGGCGGTGGGGTAGCCAAGTGGTTAAAGCATTTGCTCGTCACGCCGAAGACTCGGGTTCGATTCCTCACATGGGTACAATGTGTGAAGCCCATTTCTGGTGTCCCCCGCCGTGATATTGCTAGAATATTGCTAAAAGCGGCGTAAAACCATACTCACTCACTCACTCAAATTATGTCCCCTTTGATCAGGACTATTTGAGTGTTACCATGGTTACTGTCAGCATTTTGCTTTCGGATGCACTCAGTGTACTGTCATGTGATCTTACCAATGATATAGGTTCACACTGATTATGTTTCTAGGTTTGGCAGCATCATACCCATGCTTGTGGGTTTCACCAAAGTAGTAAACATCTAAGACCCGCTTTCCCTCCACATTGAGCTGACAGGCCATGATATGACTGGAATACTGTCCAAAGCGGCGTTAAACCCACTCACTCACTACTAATGATATATGTATGTAAGTCTTTCTACAAACCTTATCATGGCTAGCATGGATCAGACTTAACCGCATGTGTTTTCTGTTGCAGGAGTGAAGAAACATGAAGAGGAGCCTCTGATGGAAGAGCCAGAGGCTGACTTATAGCAGTAGTCTCCCCTAGGCTCTTTAACAGGTCAAGGTCATATTCTACATATTCAAACTTCACGAGAAAACAGATCATTTGCACCAAATGTTGAAAGGAAGAGAAATTTCTTATTTAAGGGAGTCACAGGGTTCCATGAAGAGTATTCTCCCTTGTGTGAAAAGATATCAGAGTTATCTCCCTTCTTGTCATGATTTTGTAAGGAACTGAAACGCACTCACTGTTTGCAATGACTTTCTGTCCTTGATGGCAAGAACTGGTATTACACTCTGAGTCTGTCGCACGTAGTTCCAAGACTTGTATGGTCCCTGTCAGTCATAGAATTAATCCCAGTCTGTGACTAAGTGTTTCACATGGTCTGCTTGTTGTCAGTGTTCATCATCCCACTGTTTGTGTCGTCTTCAACAAAATATCTCAGTATTATCATCCGGAGATACAACATCAACAGTCATGTTTAGGGATGGATTTCCACACAGATAGGGTCTCTTGCTCAATCTCGTAGCAATTTTTAACAATAATGCCAATGATCTTTTCTTCAAATCAGTTATTTTCTAATCAGAATATGACTAGCGTATGAAACCTTATTGATTGTTGATAATCCACATCTGTCATGAAGTGTGTTTTGTACAGTTTGAAAATATAGATATTTTATGCCAGAGCCCTATATTTTAGCATATATTGTACCAGTAGATTTGAAATTAGAAGTTTGAATTTTTTTTTCGCCTAATGGCTGACAATCTTTTGCATGTTTTGAATAGAAGATATATGAGTATCTTGTATTCTGCCAAATTAACTGTTTTGCCAAATATGGGACAGATGGTATCCCAGTTTGACTGTAGGAGTGATGTGAGGCTTGACAGATATGTTCACTTTGTGTTTGAGTTTTTCTTCTGGGTTTGAGACAAAAGGATGGTAAATATCTGTGACAAAGATGTAGGTAGATTGGTAGATACAGGAAAACTGCAACACAAGGTAGAAAGACAGGGATTTTGATTGACGTTGAGATTGTTCTCTTTAAATGGAACATTTCAACCTCATAAATAGCGAAAGAAAAATACAAGCATTGATTCTGATAAACTGCAAATGATTGCGGATAATTCATGTGTAGTCGTGATCAGTGTTTTTGCAAGGATCAATACTGTAAGACCTATCTTTATTTACTTTCCATATTCAAATTTGTATAGTGTGTATTTTATGATAAACAGTTCACAAATGGATAGGTTCCCTCCATGCAGTTAGCAGACGGGATATCCTGTAGGATATGCTACAGTATTAGGAGTAGGTATTAAGATAAGCCATTAACAAGAGAACAATAGGTATCAAGTCTCTGGCAATATCCAGGAAATTAAGGGGGCATGGGTGACCCAGTGGTCTAAGGAAACGCGATTGTGGGTTCGATTCCTGGTTCGCCCCAATTATGTTTCTATAGGTTTGTCAGCACCATACCCGTGCTCGTGGGTTTCACCGAAGTGGTAAACGTCTGAGACCTGCATCACTTCAGGCTTTCCTCCCACATTAAGCTGACATACTGCGATATAACTGGAATACTGTTAAAAGTGGCATTAAACCCAACTCACTCACTCACTCCAGGAAATTAAATCGAACCCCAATAAGATGTAGGATGGCATATTTCAGTGATTTTAAATATTCAGGTGACAGATGTTGGGTGAATGGTTCATATGTTACATGCTTCCTTATGACCTTTGACCTCAGATATGTAAAGACTAAACTGATGTGGGAATGGAAGATTACAAGATTGTGTTTGTTTTAGTGTTCTCAACACATGTTTTGTAAATATGCGCAAGGAATTTGGATGATTCTCTTGTTTTTTATGTGTTTTGTGACATTGTCATATTCCTAGTGTAAAATATTGATGTACTGATTTGCTGTGTCTCTTGTTCATGCCAAGTATAGCTTCCCCGGGGATATCTGCATGACTTTAGTTCTTGTATTTAGTTTAACGTATTCACTTTGTTATCAAATGTTACGGACAGTCTCAACAAAAGATGAAATGAGGTTAATTTCATTTAGGAAGAACACCTGATAAACATGCTATTTACTAGAAATACAAACGAAAGTTTGCAACATTAATACCGTACTCGACGTAATAAGCGCCCCGCTCTGATAAGCGCCCTCGGCGATATTTGCTAATATATTGGCTAGTGAACAACCCCAATTAGCACCCCTTCCGATTGATCAATGTATACAAGACTTATTTGTTCGTGTGTAATACGCACTCATGTGTTATATGCACCCTTAATTATGGGCAATTAAATCCTGGAAAACTATATCTGTTGTATATAAACATTTCAGGCTGTAAGCATGAACCAAGAAATGTACGATCTATTAACTGTTTTTTTTCACCCAAATAATATTCTAATAAGAGCCCCCTATTTCTAATTTTGAGAGCGTCATGGACGCTTATTACGTCGAATACAGTAGTGGTCTGTAAAGCATGGTAATTAACTATTAACAAAGAGAAAATAAGCATATGGTTTTGAAATTGGTAGGAGATGTAAATGTGTTTATTTTAAGAATGTGAACTCTTTTACGTAACTGCAATGCCATTATATGCCTAAAATACTATTCAAGGCAGTGTAAAACTCACCTCACCTGCCGTAGCTTTCTCAATGTGTGTTATGTCTTTATGTGAATGTGTTTTGAGTTACCGGTATGAGTTTCGGAAACAATATTGAGAAGTGTTTCCAGCCATGTCTCCACATTAACAGCTTAGTTTTGTGGATATTTTATGTAGAAACTACCATATTTGGTACCCTGCGCCAATTAGGGCCTCGGACCAACTTCATGACCAATTTGGGAGTAATCTTTATATGTACCTATTACTAAGACTGACAATTTACATGACGATCCATATTGTCTTGTGTATACTTCAATTTATTTACAGACAACAGCATTGCAGAAGGGGTTCATAATTGTGTGGTAGCTAATTTAGAAAAAGATTTAGAAACAGCAACATTTAACTAAGTTTGTTCACTACCCCTTGATCTTAAAATTAAAAAGTATTAACTTGTTTATGGCTTTGATAAGTGCTTTGATAAGTGCTCCCCTTCGTCAAATTTCGTCAAATGGCATATACGGTATTTGTTGTTCAGCTGAACATGTGTATAGTCACACCTGCCGGTGTGTTAGTCACGTCAGATTTAGCTACCTCAGCTTCCCACACAAGATATAGCTGTTTGAAAAATTCCTATGATGTTGCCTGGATTTGTGATTTGTCAGGATTAGGGATGTTAATATGAGAATACAGCTTCATCATCTCCCAGTGGGAGGGGTCGTACCTTTGAAATAACTTAAGTTTGCAATTAGCATCAGTTCACTGTTTTCCCATTTCTTTGAAAGCTAAGTAAGTCAAACATATCTCATGAAAAATGCTTTTATTTAATATTTATTGCATTTAGTATTTAGCTACATTATGACTGTATCATATTTTGGAGAATGGAAGATTTAAGTTTTCAGGTTTTTTTCCTGTGTGTATGATTTTTGTAATAATGAGTTAGCGTGGCTCCGTTTATCAGTTAGTTTGGTAAGTTCAATTAATTTTAGTAAAAATTGGAATGATTTTTTCCTTTTTTTGGCCTTGTGTGTGAGTCTTTGGCGTATAATTTGCTGATGTGTCTTATCATAGCTCTCACTCACTGTACAGGTGTACACTGACTCAATGTACAGATGTGACAGCTTCAGATTATGTACAGGTGTAACAGCTACAGTTAGGACTAGGTAAGCTAATGACACCCAAGATATTTTTGCTGTCTGTGATTTTGATTAGCTTTGTCTTCCAATTCTGGCTACCAATGAATCAAGTGCAATGCTCCCATTGTTTTGTTTGAACATCATCCAACATGGCATGCAAATATTTTCGAAGATTTGTAAGCAGACTGAACATCTATATGATTTTGGTAGTGACAATCATTTTCAGAGAAAAGTAGAAGCGTATTTCATCATTGTTTCATCGTGGATGTGTGGAATGTGTCCAAATGTCTTTGAGAGCGAATGGGGCCATTGTACCCCCTGCTCCAGCTCCAGCCAGTTTCATGGGACTGTTTATCCAGTAGAAAGTAACACTTTATCATCAGCCATGTTTACCAGAACACACACAGCTCTGAACACTGCATTGCGCTTGTCCAGAAGTCCCTACAGGGCATGTGTTCTGTATGATTATGACTTTCTTTTATGGTTTAAAACTGCATAAACCCCACAAAGTAGAACTTGAGATGTGCTTGTATGTGTGTCCAGCTTTTCAGTGTAATTTATCTCTCAAACAATACTGTAGTCATTCCAATGTCAGGAACTCTGGCCTCCTCTCCATGTCAGTGTCAGTCTTTCACTTACCTACCTTTCATTCAGGAACCATCTTTCTTTGTGGACACCTTTTAGATGCTTAGTAGGTAGGCTAGTGATAATCCAGGTTTTTTACAGGTGTAACTGCAGTGTAATTGAAGTATACTATAGGTGTATCTGTGGGTGGGACTGCAGTGTAACTGAAGTACGCCATAGTGTCATTTAGGTTTTCACAGTTGTAACTGTAGTGTAATCTAGGTCCTGACAGGTGTAACTTCTGTACCTTGTGTAATCTAGGTCAGCACAGGTGTAATGTTAGTTGTATATGTGTAACTAGTGTAATCTAGGTCAGCACAGGTGTAATGTAAGTTGCACAGGTGTAACTAGTGCAATCTAGGTCAGCACAGGTGTAATGTAAGTTGCACAGGTGTAACTAGTGCAATCTAGGTCAGCACAAGTGTAATGTAAGTTGCACAGGTGTAACTAGTGCAATCTAGGTCAGCACAGGTGTGATGTAAGTTGCACAGGTGTAACTAGTGCAATTTTGGTCAGCACAAGTGTAATGTATGTTGCACAGGTGTAACTAATGCAATCTAGGTCAGCACAGGTGTAATGCATGTTGCACAGGTGTACCCAGTGCAATCTAGGTCAGCACAGGTGTAACTAGTGTAATCTAGGTCAACACAGGTGTAACTAGTGTAATCTAGGTCAGCACAGGTGAAACTAGTGTAATCAAGGAAACTACAGGTGTAACCGTTATGTAATTTTGGTGTACTACAGGTATAACTAATGAAATCAAGGTTACCACAGGTGTAACTTGTGTAATCTAGGTAACCACAGACATAACTATTGTGTTGTCTTGGTTACCACAGGTGTAACTAGCATCTTTTTGGTTACCACAGGTGTTACTTGTGTAATCCAGGTAACCACAGGGATAACCAGTGCACTCCTGGCATACAGCAGGTATAAATGTAGTGTAACCTAGGTTATCAAAGGTCTAACTATTGTAATCTAGGTTACCACAGGTGTAACTATAGTGTAACCAAGGTTACCAAAAGTGTACATGTTAGATAATCTAGGTGTACCACATGTTTATCAGTTTGTATATAGTAGGTCCACCAATGCTACATCAGTGTACAGATAGTAACTCATGCATAACCAGAGTGTATTTAGCTTAATACCAAGTAAGCAACAAAGTACCATTAAACAAAACTGGAATCTGTGATGAAGTGCAATTTGAAGGATTGTAGAACTGATATGAAAGTTACAAGCTTCCATTGAATCTATTGACATTCTATCTGTTAGCTATGAAATGTGTACACACAAGACAAGGAAGAACCAGCCAAGTCAGCATTTCCTGTCTTAGGTTAGTAATACAGGGCCCAGTTCTACTAAGAGATCATGTAATTATGTCTCTTGTCAGCCCATGTATGGAGGTCGCTACCTTTGTGGTACTAAGATTGCTCTGTCACACAAGGTCAAGGTGATCCCACTAAGTTAGTCGGAGAGGTTATCCTAGTTCACGGAGGTACATTTTCTATTATTCGGTTCATTCACTGTAGGTCAGCTATCATTTGACGTGATCATTATGTTATATTGTGATAAGTAAAGTGTGATTTTTAAGGCATGAATACTAATTGTTAGGTGCTATAGTTCTTTTGGTCAAACTACATGTCATTGTTTGGTGTGAAATCTTTTAGGACATCTTCATTTGTTATCAGTATTTAGTACTATAAACTCATTTTCTACCACAAGGGGTTGTTTTAGTAGAACATATTGATAGCATTGAACTATATCTGTGTAACCATAATCTCCATCATCACCACCCCAACCATCATCATCTTTATGACGCATCTATTTAAACTAATAACCTATCCCTCATTAGATGTTATTCATGATGATTCTAGTCTCTTTGTGGTAATGATTTGAGAAGGTTCCAGCATGTGTTGTGGATGCTCATGAAATGTTGCCATCTGTCATATCTAATGCAAATTGTTTATATTGAATCTGTTAATAAAGACAACCATAAATAAAGATCTTACTAGGATGTCTTCTGAATGAGTAAGAATTGCGCTATTTTAAAATAAGTATCTTTATTAAGAAATAAATTCAGTGTTGTATGGTTGTAATGACCACCATTATGATGGAACTATGATATCTTCGTGAATATGGACCCAATCATATTTGATGAAGAGCTTCAGTTTGGAATAGAGTCTGAGAGATTAATTGATCCGATTATTCTAGTCCTTACACTTAATTCTGATTCTGCTTGTAAGCTTCAAGTGAGTATCTGTGGGTCTCAAGGTTGATCCACCCTACTGAATGTAAGTGGACTGTGCCAGCACAGTGTGTATATATGAAGTAAGGATGTTCCATTGATTTATGAAGGGGCCATTTGTCAGTAATTGTGACCACATTTGCCTTATAAACATTATATGTGAGCCTGAAGGGAAAGATGCATTGACATGATACTTTCAGAGTCACTTGTTGGTCTAGAAAATGTGAAGCTCTCCAGAGATTCTGCCAGGCCAGAGCACACAGTATACTCATGTTCTCATATATTATATGGGAGCTATTCAACACTGTCGTCATATACGTTATACATTTTGATTTTTAATACTCAAAATTATTTAAATAATTCAGTGTTTTTAATTCTAGTATTCTTTCCTGAATAATTTGTTTTGGAATTGTGTTGCCTTATTGAAAATTTGACAGTTTTGATGTGTACAGTAAAACCTAATGGACTTAAACTCCATGTGTTCGATATATCAGTCAGGCAATGAAACACTGTTTCCGAGGATGCCAAGTTGTCAAGGGTTACCTGTCAGTACAGAGGAGAAGAGCTGTGCGTCCTGCCCTACAGAGCAAATGATGTATGTTATTTCTTTTGTGTTATTACCATATAAGTCATATATACTACTCAACATCTGCTGCGGACCACACCTTTGACTTCAGATGACTCGATCTTCAGCAATTGTAGAGTAGTATGCCTCTCACATTCCTGCTCTTCTAATTTCCGCTGATGAAATTCTGGCAGAATCTCTCCTTATCCAGTGTTGTTGTCGATGATTAAACAGAATTTATATATCATCCTGAAAAAGCAGTGATGTATTTACTTTTTTCCAGGTTTGTAAGGGTAACATTTATATATGATCCATTGTACCTCCATATAACCACATTAGATTTCTGATGAACAGTCTAGATGCCCTCTCAATGGAAGTGTTGTGTACCTACTCCTCAACTGTTATCTGTAGATTGTTTTACTGGTCATATACATACCACATATGTCATGGTATCCCTATGCTGTACATGTCATCGTGAATAAAATCAAAAGTCATCACAATCTCTTGTTGTCTTTACATCACTTTTCTCTCCAAGGACATGGGAGGGATTCCGGGTCAGAATGTGTCCTCGTGCATGAAGGAGCAGTGGGGTAACCTGGTTGTTGTAGCGTCCCTCATCACGTTGAAGGACAAGGGAGGGAGTCCGGGTTAGAATGTGTCCTCGTGCATGAATGAGCAGTGGGGTAACCTGTTGGTTATAGCGTCCCTCATCACACTGAAGGACAAGGGAGGGATTCTGGGTTAGAATGTGTCCTCGTGCATGAAGGAGCAGTGGGGTAACCTGGTGGTTGTAGCGTCCCTCATCACGCTGAAGGACAAGGGAGGGAGTCCGGGTTGGAATGTGTCCTTGTGCATGAAGGAGCAGTGAGGTAACCTGGTTGTTATAGAATCCCTCATCACGCAGAAGGACAAGGGAGGGATTCCGGGTCAGAATGTGTCCTTGTGCATGAAGGAGCAGTGGGGTAACCTGGTGGTTATAGCATCCCTCATCACACTGAAGGACAAGGGAGGGATTCCGGGTCAGAATGTGTCCTCGTGCATGAAGGAGCAGTGGGGTAACCTGGTGGTAATAGCGTCCCTCATCACGCAGAAGGACAAGGGAGGGATTCCGGGTCAGAATGTGTCCTCGTGCATGAAGGAGCAGTGAGGTAACCTGGTGGTAATAGCGTCCCTCATCACGCAGAAGGACAAGGGAGGGATTCCGGGTCAGAATGTGTCCTTGTGCATGAAGGAGCAGTGGGGTAACCTGGTTGTTATAGCGTCGATCACCACACTGAAAGACAAGGGAGGGAGTCCGGGTTAGAATGTGTCCTCGTGCATGAAGGAGCAGTGGGGTAACCTGGTTGTTATAGCATCCCTCATCACACAGAAGGACAAGGGAGTGATTCTGGATTAGAATGTGTCCTCGTGCATGAAGGAGCAGTGGGGTAACCTGGTGGTAATAGCGTCCCTCATCCGCAGAAGGACAAGGGAGTGATTCTGGATTAGAATGTATCCTCGTGCATGAAGGAGCAGTGGGGTAACCTGGTGGTAATAGCGTCCCTCATCACGCAGAAGGACAAGGGAGTGATTCTGGATTAGAATGTATCCTCGTGCATGAAGGAGCAGTGGGGTAACCTGTTGGTTATAGCGTCCCTCATCACACTGAAGGACAAGGGAGGGATTCTGGGTTAGAATGTGTCCTCGTGCATGAAGGAGCAGTGGGGTAACCTGGTGGTTGTAGCGTCCCTCATCACGCTGAAGGACAAGGGAGGGAGTCCGGGTTGGAATGTGTCCTCGTGCATGAAGGAGCAGTGTGGTAACCTGGTGGTTATAGCGTCCCTCATCACCCTGAAGGACAAGAGAGGGATTCTGGATTAGAATGTGTCCTCGTGCATGAAGGAGCAGTGGGGTAACCTGGTGGTTGTAGCGTCCCTCATCACGCAGAAGGACAAGGGAGGGATTCTGGGTTAGAATGTGTCCTTGTGCATGAAGGAGCAGTGAGGTAACCTGGTTGTTATAGAATCCCTCATCACGCAGAAGGACAAGGGAGGGATTCCGGGTCAGAATGTGTCCTTGTGCATGAAGGAGCAGTGGGGTAACCTGGTGGTTATAGCATCCCTCATCACACTGAAGGACAAGGGAGGGATTCCGGGTTAGAATGTGTCCTTGTGCATGAAGGAGCAGTGGGGTAACCTGGTTGTTATAGCGTCGATCACCACACTGAAAGACAAGGGAGGGAGTCCGGGTTAGAATGTGTCCTCGTGCATGAAGGAGCAGTGGGGTAACCTGGTGGTAATAGCGTCCCTCATCACGCAGAAGGACAAGGGAGTGATTCTGGATTAGAATGTGTCCTCGTGCATGAAGGAGCAGTGGGGTAACCTGGTGGTAATAGCGTCCCTCATCACGCAGAAGGACAAGGGAGTGATTCTGGATTAGAATGTATCCTCGTGCATGAAGGAGCAGTGGGGTAACCTGGTGGTAATAGCGTCCCTCATCACGCAGAAGGACAAGGGAGTGATTCTGGATTAGAATGTGTCCTCGTGCATGAAGGAGCAGTGGGGTAACCTGGTGGTAATAGCCTCCCTCATCACGCAGAAAGACAAGGGAGGGATTCTTGGTTAGAATGTGTCCTCGTGCATAAAGGAGCAGTGGGGTAACCTGGTGGTTATAGCGTCCCTCATCACACTTAAGGACAAGGGAGGGATTCTGGGTTAGAACGTGTCCTCATGCATGAAGGAGCAGTGGGGTAAATTGGCGATATAGCATCCCTCATCACACTGAAGGACAAGGGAGGGATTCTTGGTTAGAATGGGTCCTTTTGCATGAAGGAGCAGAGGGCTCACCTGGTGGTTATAGCGTCCCTCATCGCGCTGAAGGACAAGGGAGGGATTCTGGGACAGAATGTGTCCTTGTGCGTGAAGGAGCAGTGAGGTAACCCGGTGGTTATAGCGTCCCTCATCACGCTGAAGGACTGGTTTTCATTCCCCACATGGGTACAACATGTGTAGCCCATATCTGGTGATGTTGCTGTGATATTGCTGGAATATTGTAGAAAGCAATGGAAACCATACTGATTCTTGCATACAGATCAGCTGATTTCCATAGTTTGTTTGAATAAAAGTTGAATGGATCATAGTTATGACAATATATTTCCTAGTTGGTTTAATGTCATCCAAGGCAAAAATAATTGGTTCCTCTATATCTTTGATAATTTTAGAATATTATGACTGCCACTGTGACTTAGTTGACTGCGTGTCTATGGACCCCGACGTCCTGGATTGTTGCTCATAATATCAATCACTGGCTTGGTCCAGATTTGATTATTTACTGGCTGACCTCAAATAGCTGGAATATATTGCTGAATGCAGTGATAAACAACAAACAAACAAACACATAAGACATGGTCTTTGTTTCAGATATTTAAAAAAAAAATTCTTGCCTGTGATCAATGTGTCATGATTTAATGGTAAGTGGTTGATTGAACAAATATCCTATGTAATAAGTCAACAGTGAACCAGTACGTATCACGAACTGAACTAAGCGTAAATGAAGTAAAATGCCCATACTGTGCTTCATGAGCAACATTGCTAGTGGGCTGCACAATGCAAGAGTTATCGAACTTGTATATAGAGGCGCTGTATACAGTGTTCGCCGGCACCAGTGTCGTTTTGACATCCAAGAAGCACCGGTTTCTCCTTCGTGTGGGCCCGTATTTTCGATCAAACTGGCGCTAGAGTGGTTAACAATGGATCCAAAAACATTCATGGATATTGCTACGGTGGTTACAAAACTGAAAATGTACCCCTATTTCGACATTGCACATTACGTGCTAATGTGCTGTTCGGTACGAGAGGATATGCCGCAAGGTGAGGATTCAGAGCCCTGTCATACCAGAACTATCTTTGGCAGTCCATGAAACCGATACCAAAACATAATGCACGTGTTCTTCGTGCCAATATATTGCTATTTGCCATGTTTTCTGATAACTGATCGCAATATTTGGTTGGCATCCCAACCTGACAGCTATGCTTGAATTGAAAATTCGTCTGCTAGCCTTTTGGCTTGCAGCAATGGGCTTGACTTTTATTGGTTGAGTCAACTGTTATATTTCATCAATCAATTATTTTCTGCATATGGTATTATTTTTCTAAATCGTATTATCAAGAATTTTATTTAATGAAAAAAAAAGATTTTGTGATTTAAAAATGCATTTATTAGTCGTAAAGGTCAAATTTATACTAGACAAGAGGCATGAAAGATCGCATGATATTTTAAGTTTAAGGGAAGTCTTCATAGAGGTCTCAATTGCATTGATAAATCAAGGTATACCACGTCTCAACTAGTCTTTAAAATGAGATATATGAACCCTTTGCAATTTGAGTGGTAGAATATAAGATAATATGCTTTTTTGTTTTTAAAGATAATTTTGGATATTGTTGTTTAGGTCTACTTATCATGCTTATTTCTGCCCTAACAGACTGACTGACAGTATTGGTGTATACTAACAAAGATAATTGATGAAGACATTCAGAAGGTTATGTCCTATGTAATGTGTGGAAACTATTCATACTGTATATATATGTCAGGTATTCCTTAAATAGATTGATGTGATGTTCTGAGGATGTCACTATGGTCACTTGGATTTTTTTGCATTTTGTCCAACATGTTTAATAAGCAAAGTTTTTTCACGTTTTATCACTTTTATATTTCAGATGATTTTGTTAGTATTAATAATAACCATGATAAGCATACTACTGTTGAGTAATCATACACATCATGTGACATGTAATTGGGGCATGTTCTATATATTTGTTTTTGGATTTCAGCCAAACACCTTATTGTAAAGTACAGGAATTATTTCATATTTTTGGTCTCAGTTTAGCATATGTACATGTGTGAGCTAATAATTAATCCATAGCCTGATAGGAGTATCAACCATACATATTGCAGCTCTGATCTCTTATCTCTCTTAGTATATATAATTTAATTAGTTATCATAGATAAAAAGATTACTTATCTTACTTTTCATTGAATTGGATTGTACCAGTAGAAGCTAAAGCTGTTATTTTTAAGCTTGTGACATATATCTTGTCTGTTCATACTGTTCAATTCCATTACTGTACATATTTTAAAGGTAACCATGTTAATAGTAACACAAGGAAATATTATCATTGATCATTGTGAGAAATGCAAATCATTTTAACAAAAAACCCATTTATTTGGATATGTTGATAATTCATAGACCATTTGTAGACATGATAGGTATCAGTTCTCAAAATGCAGTAGAGATTGCAGTCAGGCTTGACTAGCTTGAAGTCAAATAGCTAACCTTGATATATCTCTTGATAATGGACAAGGGATAAATTGAAAAACAAAAGTCCAGCATGATAAAAATGTTTTTGACTGACAGTTTTCAAACACTGTTTCTACTGATAAACACAGTGCAGTATACCAATTTGGTATACATGCATTCAATTTAACACAGTTCTGACAATTCAACATCATCTTTCTCTATGTATTATCTACACACATCATCATTGAAGAAGAAACAGATGGCCCAAGATCAATAACAAGGAGAACTGAAACACAGTTTAGTGTATGATGGATGTTGTATTGTTGTGCTAATTGCAGATGTACACCATATGCTTGGCCATTCACATAACAGCTTGTCAGGCTGAGTGGGAGTGACTGTGTCCATTTAGAAGATGACACTTGATCCCACAGTATGACTGACTAATGACTTGGCCAGCTGAGCCTAGCTGTACCACATTGCTTAGATCAGAGATCATGGAGTCCATGAGATACATAATTGATTATTGAACCACTATTCAGGTTTTTGGAATTAAGGGAGGTTCTGGTGTCCTTCATCATTTGTTGACGTAGCTCCTTGAATCTGGAGATCCACTAAATTGTTAACTTCTAATATTTAGGGTCATGCACAAGAATTTGTAAATGTACACAAATGAAAATATGTTTTTATTGACCCATGTACCCTCCTTTTTCCTCGGAGGATGCGTGGGTCTATAGAAACATATTTTTTAGCTCACTTGGCTGAGAGTCAAGAGAGTTTATTACAAGGCCTGTTTGTCCATTGTGTGTTCTAAACCAATGCAGCTGAAATTTCGTGTGCTTATTCCCACCGATGTTAACAACCTGATTTGTTCAAGAGCATCAAATCCCAATTTTCAATATGGCCGCCAGTCAATTTGTTACTACATCTCGATCTCTGAAAACAAATTTAATTTGTCAAGTTTCTAAGGACCCATGGTGCCTTTTTACTAGAGCGAATACGGTACATAGACCATGTAGACACTCATGACTGTGTTGAGACATATCTAGATATACAGCTTACAGCCTCATGATTTTGTGAACTTGAGGTTAATAGCTTAGTGGTAAGAAGTGTTTGCTATCAAGTATCATGTCACACCAGAGACTTGGGTTGGGTTCCCTCCATGGGTATGATGTGACAAGGCCATTGTCAGCATGCTCAGTGTTCCCACTGAGTGACTGCAGTAAGGCATGAGGGGCAGTGTACATCCAGTTAATCCCTACTTTCTCAATCTTGGTATATATAACATTTTTGTTTGGTATAGCCTGTTATAACACACATACACTAGTAGTAGGATATATTAATTTAATCTTTTCTTCCACTGAAGGGTATAATTGTATGTATTTGCATCCCCCACCCCAAATGCTCAAGAGTTCCATAAATGTTTAAGTTTGCTTAGTTTGCTAATGTATATATGTTAGTCCTGGAATATATGTATTTTATGAAATCAAAACCAGTCTAGATTTATATAAAAGCTACTCTAGCCAGCTCTATGAAATCAGCATCAGGAAAATTAATTGTTTTCATTTTAGAGGAAAACAATGTATTGTGTTGTAAAAGATTTCATAGACTATACATGAGTCTATGATGTCTACATATAGGTATATGTGCAAAGACAGGAATCAGTGATTTAACATAAAGGTTGTCTGGATTGAGGTCCCTGTCACTGTTTCTGGGTCAGCTAGGGAAGTGTCACTCATTCTACACCACCAATTTCACAAGTTAAAGCTGTAAGTTAAACAGCATTAAGTGAGTGTGCCTTGCAGCCATGATGTGTGAAACCTGTCAAGTCTTAAACATCCCACTACTGTCAAGCTTATTGTTTTTCTTCATAGCCCATGGCTGTCTAATCCTCTTGCATTGTTTGCTGTAAGTCATTCGTACCAACACAAGCCCCCTGGTGTCATTTCACAGTGACTTTAGGGCAAAAGCAGCTGATCTGAGGATTGTAAATTTAGATAGGTCCCCAGGTTATGGATAGTGAAAGGGTGTTTCAGAAGAGACTGAACTTTGCAGTACACTGACTAGACTTGGCTCAGTGCCTAGGGCACCCCTTTGTGTGATCCCATTGTAGATATGTCTTACACTTAACATGCTTATACTGGAGCATATATGTATATGTCACATATGTGTTAATGTTTGTGTAACTGAATGCTTTGCATGTCTATACTTGCACCTTATTTGCCAACTGCTGTTCAAGACAACACAATCATTTGTTAATCGTGTTATTGGAAATTACTATAAGAAAAACATTTATGGGATGCTCAACGATGACAACAATGAAAATGATATGTCTCCAAATTTCATTGTCAAATGATATTTGATTTTAGTTGTCTTATAAATACCAGGGAATATACTATTAGGTCATGTTTTTAGGAGAGCTGAAACCCTTTTGCTATATTTACACAGTCCGAACACCCAGCCTTAACCCTCTGGATGCCGAGTTTTTTTTCTGACGTACATTTTCCTAAGATCGGAAAAGTGAAGGTTGTGCGAGAATTGCGCTCACGCGGCACTGGATCTACCTCTGGCTATAAAATTACGCAGAGATGAAGAATATGAAATTTCCTATTTGATGGTGTAAATTTAACTGTAAATATCAAACCGGTTTACAAAAAAAGACACTCCTAAGTGTTGTCCGAGAATATATTCTGCGTTGAAAAACAGTTAATTTCTCTGCTTTCTATTGTACACCGATAAAAGTACTGTGCGACAAAATTTTTAATTAAGAAGCTTTACGGAAACTGTGAGCGAACAAAATACTGCCTAACATCTGAAGGACATAACTACATATCAAATGGAGTTATATGCGTTTGTATAACGACATACATTCAATTCCAAAAATAGCATGCCGTAAATGACGAAAACTGCTTTTTCTCTATGACGTCAAAAGGTGACAGAGAGATTTCACACGTACAAAGAAAAGGGGACATAACTCCGCTATGCTTAGCTCTAGTTTGTTGTAACTCAGGTCACTTGGTGAGAATTAGCTGTGGGTAAGGACAATGTATTTTCGTGGTGTTTTGTTCAGGAGGAACCAAACTATTCCAACACAAATATCGATATTGAAACTGTACACGTTTAGTTATAAAATATACCCATAAGAAATTATGAAATCGTACTTCATTAAAAAGGAGTTAATAGAGAAATGGATGGCCTTATCTAACCTATAACTTAGTCCTTAGATTCCAACATTCTCCTGATTGTGTAAGTGTAATTTGACTAATGTTGCATCATTATTAATGGAGCACATGCCTTATCATCAAATGTAATGAAATACCCGAAAAATAACACGATTCCTTTTGACGTCATGGCTGGTTTCATGTCTTTGATAACGTCGGAGAAAGACGACACTTGTATTTTGATTAATATATATCTCCCCTAATTTTCTTTCATGGTATGGAAAATCTCGATGTGTGGAACGGAATTTGACGCTTTTTCGACACAACATAAAATTACTGCTCTCACCAAGCTAATAATGTCTTGAATATGTAAACAATTAGATAGTTTATCGTGTATCTTAATTGGACAAGACAC